AATTCTCTTTGGAAGATTTGAGAGAATGGGACCACCTCAGCTGTAATAGATATAAGAGATCCAGCAGACAGGGGACTGGGAGCAGGAGCATGGAGAAGGGTTAGCAGGCTGTGTATCGCTAAAATTGGCCGAGCAGGAGAGCCTTCTAGGGAAGGACTTAAAGGATTTAACACTACCAGGAGTGAAAGTAAGGAAAATTATGGTTGAGGTGCATGTGGTGCTGAGACTGAGTTGTTCCACTCCCAAGTCTTAATCTTATAAAACAAATATGAGAGACCAAGAGTAGATCTCATTCTAGAATCATTCCCTATGACAAATGCAGTATCTATTACTTTTTTTTTTTAGGTTGTGTTTCTATGTGGAAAGGATTAGCATTTAAGGAATTAAATGTTTCTCTCTTTTCTTTTTTCATTCCAAGTATAAGATTATGCTACACTATATTTTATTTTATTTTGTTTTATTTTATTTTATTTTACTGTAATGAAGAAGAGAAATGAAATCAGCATTTTTAAAAATGAGACAGAATGAGCTCTTTCCTGCCTATATGAAAAACACAAGCGTGGAGGTGGAGTGGCCACCTCTGGGCCACCATGTTTGAAATACCAACATTTTTAAANAAGCGTGGAGGTGGAGTGGCCACCTCTGGGCCACCATGTTTGAAATACCAACATTTTTAAAATTATTATAGAGAATCAATTATCATTTGCTGTTAACTTTAGGACTGAAAATTGACCATAATTTAGCAACTCTTGTAGAGATGTTTTAAATTGGCCTCATATTTTTTTCTTAAATTTTAAACAAATTTTCAACCTGCGTTTTTGCAAGCTGTTGTATCAAAAATGCAAGTGAACAGATGTGTAGCCTAGAGCAGCATTAGACCTCTGATCTGATGTTAGCTTATGGATGGAATTGAATTAATCCATAGCAGTCACTGAAAATTCAGGGATATGAGACAAACTGCTAGTGCACTTTTTAACCTGGAATAACTGATCAGCAGCAGTTCAGAAAAGAAAACCAATTACCTTCCTTGGAGGTCTGTCTTGGTTGCCACCATAATCATAATTTCAAAATAAAAACTCAGTTGCTTTTTCTGTTACATAAAGCAAGATTTTTGTCAAAAGGCCTTTATTTGTTTTTTGTAATGAAGAGGTCCATTTTTTACTCTCTCTCTTTCACACACAAACACGCATAGGCCCTTTGTGTCTGTGAGTTCCACATCCATGTTTTCAACCAATCACGAGTGGAAAATTTTCAGAAAAAAATAAATAAATAAATAAAAAATAATACCACAATAAAAATAACCAAAAAAAAAAAAAA